TGAGCATGATCACACACACCCCTCCCCATTTTAAAATGTGATTAACGTCATGTGTTGGCTGCTTCTGCCAGCTCACAGCCCCCCGCCCTGCCGCCCCTCGCATTCCGGATTGCTGCCTTGTTTTCTGCGCGAGGCAAAGTGGTTCCCTCGCCTTCCACATCAAGGCAGTAACTCCAGCATCACTCAGGAAAGGCAGAGACCTCCAGAGATGTTTAAATTACCAGCCATGTCATAAATCAAAGGCAGAAACAAGACTTAGTGAGGCTCCCTCCCGTTGCTGGAGCTGGGAAAGGCTTCTGTATATTTATCGGGATGGTGAAAAGAGCAGCCAGCCATCGCTGCATTAAGGAAAAATTAATCAGATCGCAACGCCTGGCATGCCTGCCACCCAAAGATGCCTCCCCTCCTTTAGGCAGCGCCATGGCATGGCTCATCTCCCACCCCATTGCCCCCTCCTCATTTGTCTGTTTGTTGCATGAAATTTATACACCGCTTGATTGTTAGAAAAGCCCTCAGCCCAGTTTACGAACACAGAAAATCAAGAAAAATTTACAGCCGTACTTCATGTCTCTGGGGTGTGTGTGTGTCAAGTGCCTTAACATTAGAACTTGTGGACATCCAACGAAACTGGGTGTCGGAAGATTCAGGGTAGACAAAAGAAAACTCCTTCTTCACACAGTACATAGGAGTCAATTCCTAGGGGCTGAGGAGTCTTTGCCCCCCCAAAAAATATTTGATGCCCCCCCCCAGTTGATTGGCATTGCCATTCAAATGGTGTGTGTTCACTGTGTCGTGTGATCAATTATACGGGGTGGGCTTACCTTGCGCCTCCTCATATTTTATTCAATTTGGCACTGAAACTGTGGGGCATGCACTCACAGGAGGCAATGATGGCTACCAAGCTAGATGGCTGTAAAAGAGGGTTGGGCAAATTCATGGAGGAGAGGGCTATCGATAGCTATTAGACCCTCTCCCTGTAACCTCACTTCTCTCAGTGAGGGCACTGCCAGAACGCCCTTGGTGCTAGACCTCAGTGTCTGGGCAGATGGCTATGCTCTGCCTCCACAGTTGGATGTGGCAATACTTCTGAATATCAGAAACCACAGGAAGGCTCCTCCATGCGGCTCCTGATTGTGAGCTTACCACGAGGAGGAGATGGATTGAGGATTAAAACTGTAAATTAAAATATAAACCTCCTGTCCCATGTGTGTGTGAGAAATATGAGGGTAAGTAGGCTGTGAAGCACTTTTTAGTAGAATAAAAACACTTATGCACTTTTGCATAAGTTTTTACTGCAAACTAGGAATAAGGCAATTACATCTCTTATCCCCGTTTTTTGTGGCCTGCTGGCCTTTCCCCTCTCTGTCCCCATTGCTAAGAATGAACCACATGTTTTAGTAAAAACAAAGAAGTTTACTTACATTTCAGTGCAGGCAACAAATACATCAATGCAATTTGTTTTCATTGAAATATTTTCTTGGGTAACAAAGGTACAGTATATACAACATCTCTGTTTTCAATTCATATAATCCCTTCTACAGGTCAGTAACATTCGGTGTGAGACACTGTTGTCATGAGCTTTGTGAGGTTGCATGGAGAGAATTGAGGAGATGGGGGGAGAAAGAAGGGGGGAATCTGTTGGGGAGTTAATGCAGTGAGCCCCTCCATCTTGTGCTTGGGTATTATATATATGTAAACAAATTCACATATCCTGAAGACACCACAGTCTCTGCTGACCTTCATTCAAAGGAAACTGAACCTGGAACCCCTGGAATCTTTTACCACCAGAGACTGGGGTGGTGTGCAACAGTAGTCTTTAGTTTTTGCAGTTGCCATGTTTTCTTCCTGTCCTGTACATCTCACATTTTGCTTTGCTGTGTGATGTTTCAAAGGAAGTCTTTTCAGGAAGGAAAATGGGATGATTTGGGGGACAGGGACGGAGCAAAACATCAGCCTGTGGGGGCTGCCCTGAAGCCCCCCAGATAGCAATTCTCCACTCAGCTCCTGCCTGCCTCTCAGCCCTCCCTGACCCCGGACAGCTGCCACGCACTGGCAAGTTCAGGCCAGGAGCTGCGATGCGTTGGGCTGGTGAGTAATAGCTTCTTATTGGAGTGTGAAGATCTTCCTATTTTCCTGATTTATGCCGCATTTAAACTTTCAAAATCCACTTAGCTGAAGGAGGCCTGGGAGCCAAGCCCTCTCTGCAAATGACCTGCCTCCTCTCGCCCTGATATCTCTGAGGCAGGAGATGGAATAACTTACACTATCTATTTCCATCGTATTATGCCAGGCAGGGGCTCTCCATCACAGCCCGCCTTCCCTCGCTCTCTCTTTCTCTCTCTGCTAGCGGTCTCTTTTCTACTTTTCCAAGTGAGGAGGGCCTGGATTGAGCCAGAATGGGCCTAGTTGAGCTTATTAGGAAGGGTCTTGGCTTCCAGCTCCCTGTGAGATGGATCTGGGAATCACAAATCACCCGGCACCAAGCCTAGCCTGATTCCTCTTCATTTCCAGGTGGCGGGTGCATCTTGCTTTCTTCCCTAATAGTGATGTTCTTTCAGGTTTACGATCTGTCACTCAACATATCATGGAGGAGGAAATGCCAAGCAGGGCCACTCTTATCATTTCACCATGAAAGGGAGCTGGGAAATGGCAGCCTTGAGGCATGGAAATGGAAGATATTTTGCCCAATTGCATGTGAAGCTGTGAACGGCCATGAGCAGGGGTGGGGGAGACAGCCACGGCTGTCAGAGCTTTGCTATGGCTCCTCCTAACCACAATTGCTCACCACACCTTACCATGGCTTGATCCCATTGCCTTTCTTCTGGACTGGGAGCCACACCCCTCCCTCCCATCCCACAGCATTGCCAGCTGTGGAGGATCTGAGCAAGGCTGGGGCTCCGGCAGTTCTTGAATCCCAAATAGGCCTCAGCAATCTTTGAATGCCCAAGGCCATCCTTGTTGTTCAGGCCCGGAAAAGTGGTTGACAAATGAGTTTGGGGCCAAATGAGCAACACCCTCTGTGGGGAAGCACCTAACATTTCTAGGAGGGATTCAGGGAAGATAAAAGAAAGTCCTTGTTCATGCAACGTGTTGTTAAACTATGGAAACCACTTTCCCAGGAGACAGTGATGGCCACCAACTTGGATGGCTTCAAAAGAGGATGAGAAGAATTCCTGGAGGACAAGGCTATTGATGGCTCCAAGCCACAATGACTTTTCCCCCTATCAGAGGCAATATGCCTCTGAGTGAGAATCCTAAGTGGGGATAGTCCTCCTCCTGCTGCTGCTGCTGCTGTTGCACTCAAATTCTCCTTGGGGACTTCCCAGTGGAAGGTGGCACTTGGCTGGCTGCAGTGAAAAGAGGATGCTGGGCTAAATGAGCATTTGACCTGTAATGTGCAGGCTGGCACAATAGAACAGGAAAAGGGTATCAAGGGAGTAATTAATCTGTGCTAAGGGAGCTGGAGCAGTGCTGTCCCTTTGCAAGGCAGTCCTGCAGAGAGAAAGAGGGGCAAGAGAAAGATGCAAACAGGCGCGCACACGCCCATACACCACACACTTCCCAGGAATAACCTCTGCAAAAACACCAGGCTGAGCCAGGCTTGCTTTGCTTCTTCCAGGACTTGTCAAAGCCGGAGAAGAGCCTCCTTGCTCGGCCTGTCAGTCCCAGTCTCGCGTTTGCCTAACGCCCGTAAGGGAGCCGAGGGGGGAATCCACCAGTTACAGAAAATGATTTACAGGAACGCCCAGGCTCTCCATTTCAGCGGTCTCATGTGGACCATAAAAATATATTAGAAAGGAATAATCTTTATCTGGACTGGAGCTGCGAGCAGAACCGCTTGTCCAGCGGAGAGCAGCAGCGAGCTGAAATCTCGCTGCTGCTGCTGCTCTTGGGCAGCCAGGCCGGACAGGAAACCTGGGAAGGGTTTATGGACGCCTCGGATCAGGACACGCCACCATTCCCTTCTCCAAACAACGCGCCTGTCAGATGCTCAGAGTCAGCCCGCGAGCGCCGTCACCGCCGCCTGGCTAGGCGAGCAGGACCTAACAAGCCCCGCGGAAGGAAAGCCTCCTCCGTGCAAGGAGCCTCTTCCCAAGTGACGCGTGAACTCGGGTCTCTGGCTTCCCTTCTCAACTTATGGGCCGTGCAACCTGCCTCGGCCCGGAGGAGAGTAGCGGTCAAGAGCGGGAGCGCTGAGCAGGGGTGGGGCACGTCCAAATGCCACTTCCGACGCAGCATGGCCAGAGCATTGCTCACGGAATGTCCGGCCCAAGGATCAGATAGGCGCATCAGACGGAGGCGACATCGCTAATTCCGTCACACAAACACACACAGAGCACCCAGGCCAGGTAGGCCACTGCTGTTCCCAAGAGGGAAACTGGGGCAGAGAGGAAGCCACGTGTCCCGACCCAACCAGCGAATCGAAAGGCAGAAGCTGGGCGCTTTGGGACCAGCTGTACCCCATTCTAGAGGCAAACGGCTCTGAACTCCCTCACTGCGTCCGGCTTCGGAGGCGGAGGCGGCTGGCTGTCTTTGAGCCTCCATCTCCGTAGGCACCTCTTGGGACCGGGCTAGCCGAGAAAGCTCCGGTAGACCCTTCCCAGCAGGTCAGGGGCTCTCTGGGTGGGCTGCCGGAGCTAGTAGCTGCCGGGCCCGCTGCTTCGTCCCCGCCCCAGCAGACAGCCCTCGCCGCGTCCATCCTCCGTCCATCCCTCCCTCCCTCGTCCCGCCCCGCCCCGCCCGCCGCCGCCCCGCCTCCTGCTCAGCACCCAGCACAAACTTTCGCCGGGGACTCCCTCGCTCGGAAGCAGCAGCAGGAGCGGGAGCAGCAGGAGCAGCAGCAGCCTCGGCTGGGCAGACGCGGGGCCCGCCCGGGCGGCTGTGCCATGCGGGGCTCCCCCCGAGCAGAGGCGGCGGCTGGGGGGCCGGGGGCCGGCAGGAGCAGCAGCAGGAGCAGCGGCGGCGGCGGGCCGTGCGGCCGGGGGGGCGGCGGCCGGCGGGCGGCTGACAGGATGCGGCCGGGGCTGGGCACGGGCAGGCGGCATGGCCCCCCCGCCTAAGGGCCCCCCCGCCCGCAAGCTGCTCTGCATGTGCAGCCTCTCGCTCTGCCTCACCTACGCCTGCTACAGCCTCATGGGCGGCCCCGGCGCCCTCCCCTCGTCCCCGCTCGCCCCGCAGGGCTCCCCGCTCAGCCCCTCTGCCGTCGACACCCCTCCGCCGCGCAACGGGAGCCCCGCGTGGCTACGTACCCCTTCGCCGCCCTCTGTCTCCGAGGCCACCGAGCCCAGCCGCGCCTGGACCGAGACAGACCCACCCTCAGCCAGCAGCCCCAGCAGCGCCCCGGACCGGGACCTCGGTGTTGGCGGCGACAGCAGCAGTAGCAGCGCCAGCGTTGCTGCCGCCGCGGGCTCCGAAGCTGCCGCCGCCGCTGCCACCGCCACGCCGGACTACGGGGAGAAGCGGCTGCCGCAGGCGCTCATTATCGGCGTGAAGAAAGGGGGCACCCGCGCCCTGCTGGAGGCGCTCCGAGCGCACCCCGACGTCCGCGCCGTGGGCACCGAACCCCACTTCTTCGACCGCAACTACGATAAGGGCCTCGACTGGTACAGGTGAGCAGCGCGCGGGCGCGGGAAGGGGGCACTCGCCGGGTAAAGGCGCCCAGAGGTTGCGCTGGCACCGAGGAAGAGCGAGCATGGGGGTCCACCTCACTCAGTATTGTCCGCACGGGCTGGCGGCGGCTCTCCGGTGATCCAGACAGGGTCCGTTTTGCAGCCTGACCCGGAGATGCTGCCGCGGATTGAAACCGGGGCCTTTCTGCTCTGGCACGGAGTAATGGCTAGGACTTTCCGGCGGCCGGCCTTGAGCCTCCTGGTGGTGGCCAGAAAGCGGGGCTGTCCATGTCGCCGAAAGGACCCTAGGCCAGGGCGATTGGAGCTTGTCCCCTTCGGAACCAAGCTTAGCCCTGGGTGGGTGGCGGGCTCCGTCCCTCCGGGACAGGAATGTCGCCTCCGAGGGTTCGATTTCTCCTTGGGGCAGTTCACCTTCGCGAGTGGCGGGGCTTTTGCCGCCACGTGTTGCCCTACACCCTTGGCATGGGAATCCCAAGGGAGAAAGTTCGTTCTCTCCCGGCGCTTTAGGGCAGCCTCTCGCCTCCACTTGCTTAGACGTGCCACCCTGCAAGCCAGGAACCTAGGCTGGGAAAAGACCACCTCCCCGAGAGGTGATGTGGTCTGAAAGCCGCTTCCGCCGCGGAAGGGTGTCAAAGCAAGCGAGGCGCGGAGCTTGTTTGCGCAGCGCTGTCCATGGTCCTGAAAGCCGCCCCGTTGTGGAGAAGGGACCAGCAATGGTTGGGAGAGCCGAGGGCCGAGTGCAAAGCTTGTGACGGGCCAAAAGACCGGAGCGACTCTCCCTGCCCATGAGCCGCAGGTGGCTCCTTGCTTGTCAAAACGCAGTTAGGGAGTCAGGAGTCCTTGTAGTGCCACAGGGGAGCTCAGCTCAGCTCAGCTCTCCTCCTGAGAGCCGCTTGCGCGTGTCCCTTTCATTTTAAGAAGATTGTCCAGCTATTCAAAGCTGTTCACAATATTTCGGAGATGTCCCCAAACAAAGTCATGCTGCGTTCCACCCTCCCACTCACCCCTGTTCCAAGAGCAGCAAAGTCCTAGACCTGGTCGAATTTGGGGTTGGAAAGCGGCCCCGTGGCCCTGTGCAATTGAGGGGAACCCCTGAAAACTCAATCCTGATCCCCTGGGATAAGAACTTTGTGTTGAAACGCTCTGAGTATTACCATCACCACCGGGTTTTGCAGTAAAATGCTGTCCAAGGTGCACTCTCCAAAACGGGCTCTTCTCAATCCCTTCCTGGGGCAGAAAGCAGAAATTCCTCAAGGCAGGCTGAGGGCAGAGTTATGAGCTCCGTGCGAGGTGTCGCCCTGTCGAGCAGGGACTCTACGCCTCTAGGCAAGTTTTCTGGGGGAGATTTGAAGGCTTCAGCAGCCCCTCAGGTTTCTGTGCCTGAGCGCTAAGCCTGCCTTGTTCAGGTGCCGAGGAGTCCGAGGAGAACCGGGTTGCTGATGGGAAAGGAGATCCCCGCAGCCACTTGCCTGCGCTGTAAAGGTGAGAGGAGCGGGCAGGAGCAGGGATGGGGACCCTCTCGGATGGGGCGTCCTCAAATAGCCAAGGCTTCATTTTATTGAGCGCCTCCCTCGTGTGTTTTTGCTGAAGTGTAAATTATTCTTATCACCTTTAGTTCGTTAGTCTCTTGTTACGCACAAAGGTCTCCATGTGACTCGCAACATATTTGAAAGCTTAAATAAAAAGGCACTATAAAACTTAACGCAAAGTGCATGCAGTTCATTAAGAAATATAATGAATAGATGGGCTGGAAGGGCCAGTGCGAGGCAGCCAGTTTGTTGCGGGCGGGGGCCACAGAGGCGGCTTTGCTCTGGGGACTTCCTGCTTTGCGAGTGCCAGAAATGGGGGGGGGGCGCCTGGGGGGCTCGCTCGGCGATAGCTTCCTTCTCATGAAAAGAGGTTTTAGACCGATTATGGTGCCAGAACAGCAGCAGCAATAGCAGCTGGGGGTGCGTGCGTGGGAATGCCCCACAGGGGTCCAGGGCACCCAGACCCACCGCGGGTGCAGCTGTGCCTGAGCTCCCGCTTCTCTTGGGCAACTTGAAGTCTTCCTCTGGGGCATCCGAGCAATTGGTGGGTGCCCCGGAAGAAGCGTTACAGTGACACGATGCTCCCGTTGGTGTTTCCAGGAGGGTTTCCTCCCGGCCTTAGATGTAAAGGGGAGGCTCGTGTCTTTCTGTCGGGCGTGCGCGAATCTCTTCGGAATGGTAGTTTGCAACTCCGGCCCCCAGACCCCTTCCACCGATCTGCTGCACAGAAGGATCCTTTGCTCTCCTTGCGCAACGGAGTGGATGGAGGAGCCACAAGCTGCCTGATCGGCTCTGCAGCCGGCCCCTCCTCCTCCTCCTCCTCCTCCCCTCCCCCACCCCCGCCTGGGCAACGAGAACACCAAGCTTCCTCCAGGCTGTTGATCCCACATTCTCTGTCATTTGCTCTGTGTGTGGCTAATCCGGTTCAGTTCAGAGCCAATTATAATTGGGTGTCTCCGAGTCTAAGATATCTGATTGTGTCTGTATGGCTTTGCTTGCACGTTGCAGAGAAATCAATGGAGTCCCTTTCTCGGCAGGCAATGCTTTTCCAAGGGTTGTGGGAGCCTTGGGCTTGCTGTGCCAAAGTGTCATGCCTGGGCCAGGGATTTAAGCTGGGGTGCCACCCCTGCATATTAACAGGCTGCTTCTTAGTGTATGTGATAAAGCAGAACTGGCTGTATCCTCTAATAATTCTCTCCTCGCCACCCGCCACCCTCCTTGTCACCAGACAACCTGCTTAGAAGGTTGTTACTCTGAGTAAGGTTGTTGCAAGAAAGTGTTGCCCCATAGTAGACGTCACAGGGCCCCTCACCCCACCCCATTTCACCCCAATGAAAGGACAGGCAAAGGCACACACTGGCAGACACCATCCAAATGATGGCACAAATACATTTACTTGGTTAATTTGAAAAAGGAGGTAAATGTTAGCTCTTTCTTTCACATTTGCACAGCCTATAATATCACAAAACAGCTTTTCAAGATGCACAACTTTTTAATTCAAAGCTAGTTAAATGTGTAAGGCCTGTTCCTCTGATGCAAACTTGCAACAGATTCCTTTCAAGCTACTGCTTTTTCAGGTTTTTTAATTACTAATCCTAAAGTTACCTGTCAGGTTATGTCAGTCTAAGGACATGTGAGCAATGGATCAACCTTACTTGCAGGTGGGTGGGCTACACCACTGACTCACGGCTAAGCTGAGTCAGACACATTTCAATGGGTCTACTCTAAGTAGGACTTAGTTGGCTACAACGCTTCCCGTCTAGAGTGTTTTGGTACTGAAAATCATCTCAAGGTGTTTGTGTGCTACCAGCTTGCATATTGAGCACCCCAAGAATAGTGAGGTTGGCTGTGGCAATCAGTTTTGGTGTCTGTTCCAGTGGCCTGTTTTCATGCATTTGCTTTACCCACAGCTCAGATTTTGGTGAGGAGGGGAAAGTGTGCATGGTAGGAGTCACTTGAGGTTGCTTCCAGGTGGAGAACGTGAATTAGGAGAGGATGGTTGCAATAGGCAGAGGGGGAATGACTCAAGAGCAGAATAAAAGACAACCAGTTCAGCTGCCTACACAACTCTCTGTTTTGGAGGCCCAAGTGCTTGCTGACTGATGACAGTCCTGAATTATCTGCACAGAAGGCTGTGCTGTGTGATGGTTCCTTTTGCCTCGTAGTTGATACCACCCAATAGAGCAGAGCAGCTTCGTGAATGAAAGCTCTGCACACGTAGCAGCAGAGTCCATCCTGATACTTTGGGTATGTTGGGCTCCACACTGTCTCTACAGGAAAGAATTGGCTACTTCTGATAGACACTGGTGACATAATGCTCTCTGATGTGGGCATGTCCTGTGGCACCTTCTTCTTTCTGGTAAGAAATTAATGATTTGTTTTGCAGAAATCCCTAGTATTTGGGGGTGTTCACCTGTACTTAAATTACATCCTTGTGGTATGAGGACAACAAAAATAAATATATATTTTGCTTGCCTTTATGGTGACCAAGAAACTTCTGCTGTGAGGCCAGAAAGACACACTCTTCATCATCTCCTACTCAGGGGTCAGAAAATCTCACTGCCCTTTCTACAGCTTATAATCATCACTCTCACTGAGATGCCTATTTGGACATATGGACTTCTTATATTAATCTATTTGCTTAAATTAGAACAGATGGGAAGTTCTTCTTGTTAATGTAAGCTGGCTTTTTTTAAAAAAAAAACAACCTTTTATCCTTTCTGTTTGCTATATCAGCAACAACTACGGAAGTTCATCGCACAAAACTGGGCAAGTGCCACCCCTGCCTGGCACAAGGACATCTCTTTCCTCCAAGCCTTCAGTCTTAAAGAATAACCCTGTGCGATCTGAAAGCTTGCTTCAACCAATTCTTAGTGCCTGAAATGCTGCTTCGCAGACTCTGTGTGCTTGACTCACTGAATGACTCTCTCATTCATTGACTGGATAATTTACTTTGAATATAGTCATAAACATAGAAATGCAGTGGGTGCGGTTGCGAAATGGAGTCCATTTTCTGCAGGCCCCCTTTGATGGGTTGGGCTGCAGGACAGACTTGGAAGCCTTTGGGCTCTCAGCAGCCAGGAGAGCTGGCATCCGCAACGCCTGCTCCTTCCTGCTAACATTGGAGAGATTTTGAAAGCATCTGGACTGGGGCAGTGTGTTTTCTTCCTGCCTGGTGATATAAACCATTCCAACCCCTTGGCAGTTCCTGCGTTTTGGCGGATGCTTCTTGTGCGTCTGGAGGGGGAAGGTGTGTTCTATATCCGCTCGCTTCTTATATCTTTGGGAAGGGCTATTGATTTTCTTGGCTCCTGCTGAGTGCTGTTCTGTATCGCTGAGGGTGGGGGGCTTTCAGGTGCATCGTGGATCCGTTGCGCTGAGGATGTCTTGAGCTGTGGAGGAAAACAAAGTGCCCCAATGATCCATGGAAACACATGTGCATCCCTGCTC